TTGCCAGAAGTTATAGCTCTTCCAGAGTATAACTCCTGTCTCTTATACACATCTAGATGTGTATAAGAGGGAGGAACAAAACAGTTCAATCCAACGAATGGGCCTAGCTCCAGTTGGTACACCCATGAACTTTTGAAATGCAGACCCGAGTGCGAATCCCTATACTACCAGATGACCAGAATGAAATCTTTCTGAATTACCTGGGCCCAGTCAGTTCGACGATGATGTTTCTCTGCTCGAGTCAAGCATATTGCATATTCCCACTTTCTTCTGTCTCAGCCAGGCTTTGAAATATGTATAGCTGTCCGGAGATCACCTGCAGTAGTTCGGTCCCAATTATCTCAGTGTCTACGAGTGGGACTTGGGGCTGTGCTTGAGTGCAGCAGCAATGCACCATTCTTCGACAAGTACTCGATGACACCTCTTATATTGGCATATATATTTTTTTTGAAACTCCAGCATATTTGCAGTTCCAAAAATTGCGAAGCATGTTCCTCGTGAACGACTCTGTGGTTGACACTTGTGGCGGTAAAAGTCAAACGGTGATGATGGTTTTTTTTTTTTTTTTTTTTTTTTCTTTTTTTTTTTTTTTTTTTTTTTTTTTTTTTTTTTTTTTTTTTTTCCTGACCCTGTTTTTTTTTTTCTTTTTTCTTTCCTGAGGTTCTGGAACGATCTTTCTAAATGTGTGAACAAACAGTGCATGTATCGCACGACTAACAGGTTTCTGGGAGCGGGCTTCCCGAGGGCAGCAGACTCCTATGGTGGTTGAGAGGGTGTAGTTTTTTTCGTGCATCGAAAGCTATTGAAACAGAGGAGGGTAAGAACCTTGCAAGTTGCAAATCAATGTGTTTGGATGAAGTGGTTGGTGTCTTCTGCAGAGTGCGATGGGAGAGCCTGCGTACCTGGTCATTTGGGGATACGATGCCTAGGTGCCTGGTTACCTGCCAACCTGACCGGCAGAGTCATTTGGCCGCTTGGTGAGCGGGCAGCGCGGCGCGGCGGATATGTCGGCCCTCCGTTCACCTCCTCTCCATCCATGTTATGCATCCATCCTTACCACCCTTCGGCCTGCGCACCGATTTGTGTGGCCTTGTTGTCTTTTGCCTAGCTACACATCGGTGGCGTGTCCGTTGCCCTGAACGTCTCGCTGCTGGCAGCCCTGTGGATATGTCTGCCCTCTGTCCGCCTCTCCGTCCATGTTACCCATCCATCCTCACCACACTTCGGCCTGCACACCCATTTGTGTGGCCTTGTCGTCTTTTGCCTGGCTACACATCTGTGACCTGTCCTTTGGCCGAACGTCTCGCTGTCCTTATTGATGCTCATCTACCCCTCGACCTTGCCACCCGTTACTCATCCCCTTGGCCCAACGTCGAGACATCTATGCGTCTGTCCAGGCATAAACTGGCTGTCTGCCTGTTTTCCTAGCCTAGAGGAGCTGCTGCCTTGCCCTTTTCGGCCACCCCCAACTCATAAAGCTAGCCGCCCCTCACTCATAAAGCTGCATTGCCACCCCCCACTCTGTGACCAAGTGGGGGACATAGTGGCGTTGCCACCCCCCACTCTGTCACAAAGTGGTGGACATAGTGGTGTCAATATGTTTTGCAAGTCCGCCATTTTGTCGCCTTACCATCTCAGTCGTACCACTTTGTCACTTTACGATCTCACCCACGGGACTTAACCCTTAACCTTCATCTGGAACTCAGGGGAAGACTACCGTAGACTATATCTATAGGCCTTTGTTAGGAATTACGACTCACATAGGCCAATGGACTTAAAGCACCAGTACATGGCGCCAGCCAAGTTGAGAGTCTGATTGAGCCTCTCCTAAATTTTGACTTCGAGTCACATAGACCAATGGACTTAACCTTCATCTCCTAAAATTTTGGAGGCCCCCAGGCCGTCAAGAAAACAAATGGACGGCGGGCGGCCTCTGAAAGGGGCCCGCGGCCGATGATGGCTGGCATGTACTGGTGGTTTAACCTTCATCTAGAACTCAGGGGAAGACTAAAGTAGACTATATATCTATAGGCCTTTGTTAGGAATTACGAGAAGCGTAGCCCAATGGACTTAACCTCCATCTGGAACTCAGGGGCAGACCACAGTAGAGTCGACTATATCTATAGGCCTTTGCTAGGAAATCTGATGGTTACAGTGAGGCGGTAAGAATTGACTGCCTATGGCATGAGTTCGATCACACGACCTAGATATAGACATAGGTCAGTGGAGTCTGCCCTAAGACCACCACCTTAAGTGTGCACAGGAGGGTACTGAATGGCCAGTGAGTGAGGCTCTTTTGTCTACAGGGGTCCAGTCTTTCTGCGATGCATATTTGTAATTCCGAATAGCGACCCTCCATACCCCGTTGATGGTACCAGGTACCTCTCGAGGTATCACCGCAGGTAGGTACTGTGAATGTGCGCGCTTCGTGCTGATGATACGGTTTTTTTTTTTTTTTTTTTTCTGAACGGAATGAGGACGGCAATGGGTGTGAAGCAGTGGTGTGGCTCAATTGTTGTGAACCAGTTGGCTTGGGGCTAATGTCAGAGGTCCCCCTTTGGGGAGGCATGCATACTGCTTTATGTGATGATGATTATCCTCGTCGTTGTGCGTGTGGTGATGATCATTCAGGGTCGATTCTGCAGTCATCGTTCAAGTCACCTCCCCTCTCACCTTTTGGAAATTATATCAGAGCTGACTGGCATCTTCGACCCAAGTATCCGCGCAAGCCACTCGTGACATGCCAAGTGGCCAATCAGGCGCTGCCAGATCCATCAGGAGCTGTCAGAATTCCATTCACTCCTAGTGCTTCAGGTGACGGTTTCGGGATAATTTCACCAGAGTGGGAAGAGGGGGTGGGATGGTGGAGGGGGAGGGCGGTAGAGGTGGAGTAGGGAGAGGGATGGAACGGGTTCGGCATGGGGACAGCTAAAGAAAATTGCACAGCTTGTCAGCCTCTCTGCAGGCGAAATCACTGGCTACCAGAGTTGCACAGGCCGACGGTCGGCGCCCCTTGATTGGTCGGCTGGTTGGCACCTACCGGTCGACACCCCGCAAAAAAGAAAAAAGAAAAAAAAAAAGGAGTCCATAACCCCCAATAACCCCACCAACACCCCCCCCTGAACATCCCCCCCCGCCCCCCAACACCCTCATACACTCCCAATACCCCCCTATGCCCCCCAATACCTCCCCCCCCCCCCACCCCAACGCCCCCCCTATACCCCCCATACCCCTCCCCCATCCCTTTGGGCTGTACTCGGCAAGTGCGGTACAGCCCCATAGTCAGAGTAAAACAGAAATCAGTGGATGGTGGCTTACTGACTGGTCGGCAGACCGCCTACCGGTTGGCGCTGTTGGTAGGCTGCAAAACGGTCGGCGCGTATGCAGCCCTGCTTGCTACGCTATTTGCTCTGCCAATCAATCAGATGGATTGCAATATTTTGTTATGAATGCTTCAGTTTATGTCCACTCTCTTGCCTGCAGTCAACCAATCTTTGTGTATTTTCAATCTTTTCATTGATGGGTACAGCAGCTATGCATCCGATTATTTTTTCTGCTGCACTCGTCAATGGAAACAATTGTCCCAGAATTGATTCATTCACTAATTAGTAACTTTGCTGGTAGCATGTCATCTGTAATGATTGCCTCAGAGTTGATTGATTTCTCATTGTTTCCTAAATTTGAAATCTCTACCTATATGTGATTCTGCAGATATGCTTTGCAAGGTTAAACCACCACAACGTCCGAGGCTGTTTTGACCAATCCAAAATCGTGCTGCGCACCCAAAAACAACAAAAAAAAAGGAGCCAGCATGGGCCAGTTTTCGCCCCCCCCTCCTCCCCTCCCCCCCTCCCCCTGTTTGGCTGGCGGCACGAGCCATTTTGGTCTGGTATCACCACTCATCCGAAAGTTGCGCTGCATGCAAACTCACTCGTCCGAAAGTTGAGCTGCATGCAAACTCACTCGTCCGAAAGTTGCGCTGCATGCAAACTCACTCGTCCGAAAGTTGCGCTGCATGCAGACTCACTCGTCCGAAAGTTGCGCTGCATGCAAACTCACTGATCCAAAAGTTGCGCTGCATGCAAACTCAGTCATCCGATTTGCGTTCGGGCACGTAGTGGTGGTTCAAGTCACCATCTCACACGAGCCTGAGTTGATGAAGCTAAGTTCCAAGGCTCGGGAGCCTGCAGCTGCGCCTTTTCAAAGTGGCCTGTTGCTTTCGGTACCAGCCCAGACCTGAATCAAAATGCTCTTACGGCGTACACTGGTAAAAGAGCACTACTTAGGTTCGTGTGAACTGGTGGTTTAATGACCTGTTTGTCAGCGTACGTTTGCCTGCCATTGGCTAGTCCTTGCTTCTACAGGTTTCAGGTTTTCAGCCCCCTTGCGTGCAGCTGAGTTGCCAAGCAGTCACTCAGTGAACTGAACATGTGGCTGAATGGCTGAATGGCTAAGCACATGTAAGTTTTGAGAAGCAGATCACGAGTTTGGATCCCGATCATGTCAGATGTATATAGTAATGGCAGGGCTACCCCCTTTTAAAAATAATAAGAATAAAACTGCACAGTGTCTGAACTGTGCATGCCTTGAACTGCATGTCCATAGGACCATAGGTAAAGGGTCATTTTCCACTGTCGCGAAAGGGCCACCCTATCGCATCATTATCTGAAGAAGGGGATCCTAGAACTGCATGTCTATAGTACCATAGGTAAAGGGTCATTTCCCACTGTCACATTTGATTGTGCTAAAGGGTGCGCCCCCCCCCCCCCCCCCCCCCCCCCTCTCCCCTCCTTCCCCTGTCTTCAAATGATGATAAGAAACTGGTGCCAAGCAGAAGGAGGAGAGAGGGAGATTGGCATGATCTGACACTGTTCCAGAGAGAAGGTTAACCGACCCCCCAATTTTCACCCCCATTTATAAGAAAACCAAAGGGCCATTTTAACCATACTTCACACCCTAGGGGTGAAAAGTGGGGGTACCTGTTAACCATTTGTGCTGTTCCACGCCGGACCGGACGAGGCACCCCTGGCTCATTCAGGGGACAGAACTTAACCTCTGCTAGCCACCCACCACCACCACTGCTTGACAGTGTAATGAATCTGTTTGCGAATTCCGGAAGTGTCCTGTCGTTTCCAAATAATGGGTTCTCTCTAGAAATGTCTTGAACAGTTGAACTCCCATTTCAAGTGCAGGCTAGTTTCTGGTGCTGTATGCCATCTTGTCGGAATGGCCAGGACACGTCACGGGGCTGGATTGTGATTATTTCCAGCACAAGTGTACAGATTACAAAGGGGTCAAGTCCGGAGGGTCGTCAAGTAGAAGATGCGGCTACTCCTTGGAACAAGACTCTGGACATGCATGGCCTTGGAATCCATGTCTACATTTTTGTATCACCTTTCTCTCTCCCCCTCTCTCTATCTCTGTCTGTCTGTCTGTCTGTTCATCTCTCTCTCTCTCTCTCTCTCTCTCTCTCTCTCTCTCTCTCTCTCTCTCNTCTCTCTCTCTCTCTCTCTCTCTCTCTCTCTCTCTCTCTCTCTCTCTCTCTCTCTCTCTCTCTCTCTCTCTCTCTCTCTCTCTCTCGTCCCCTTCTTTCCTGTACGTTCTTACAGAGATCTCAGATGGTGTGGTACTGCTGTCCCTTCCCTCTTCCTCCTCTCTTTCCCCCTCTCTCCATCTCCCTGTCTCTCCGTCTCTCTCCGTTTATTTACCTCTATTCCTCTCTCCGTCTCCCTCTTCATCTTCTTTCCTTTTCCCTCTCTTCCCTCTCTGTCTCCCTCTCCCTCATCTTCTTACCTTTCTCCCTCCCTTCCTTCTCTGTTTCTCTTCCCCTGTCTCTCCCCCCTTTACCTTTGGTTTTCGTTACCTTTGTGAGGATATTTCTAATGGCGGGCGGCTGGTTGTCGCGCGGTCTCAAAGTGCCAGCAGTAATCAGATCACCTGACTCTCATGTCAAGGGGCCGCGCCTAGTCTCCGGCTATCACCATTACATGTTTTGATATGTATAGAGCCACCACAGGAGAGCTGCTGCCTCACATACATGATTGCTTTTGATATGTATAGATTCTATAGAACCACCAAACGTTATTCCCTCGGTTGGCTGATACTGACAGTACGTTCGTCTACTAAACGAAAAGCCCTAAATGAATGCAGAATGGGAGCGGCGGCTCCTCCCAGGGGGGCCACATTTTTTACACCTACAACTGCTAATCCACAGATTATGAGTCACAACTCCATTCTGCTGAAGAGGTTTCTCGCGGACCTGCCCCTTCTTTTCCCAAAGGTGTGAGGCCCTGCCATCGAAACAGCTCCTGAGTTTCTTTGTACATAGCGTACAATCAACCACCTCACTGATTCTTACTTAGAAAGTCGATATGGCTCAGGCTAATCAGTCCAAGTTTCAAGGCCGCCTCCAGATCGTCGCAGTTAGGACGCTTTCACCGACGAGTCTGTTTGCCTCCGGTTTGCTTGTGCCTGTGCGCACCCTGCCTGGTCACGCGCTTTCGAATGGCACAGCGAAACGCGATAAACAGTAAGTAGGAAATTGCATAATATATTAATATCATATTAATATGTATGTTTTTTTTTTTGTTTTTCTCTGTCATTTCTATGATCATTGCTGTGCTTCTCCCACTCCTACCTGAGTTGGCAGCTTGCATGACAAACTGTTTCTCATATCAGATCATCAAAGAAGAAAAGAAAGAAGAAAGAAAAAAAAAAAGATCATATTTTCTTTTGCTGCTTTGGAAGTAGATCCATGTGTGCGGTGGTACAGATATAACGATTGTACAAAGAATTGTGTGCGCTTACTGACAGCGAACGGAAACGTGTGCCGTTGATGTGTGTGCAAACATCGTGGACGACAGCAATAGGAGGATTCGCCTTGGGTGCAAGATTGTGGGCGCTGTGCTTCTACTTGACGACAGCGGTGATAGGGTGCGGTCTATTCGTCGTAATGATTGTGCTGTACCCCTTTGTGATGGTGTTGGACCGCAAATCCCGTCGGATCTTTCATTCAATCAATGCCTTGTGGGCGAACTTGACGGCACAATGGTTCTACAAGACTGAGATCTACGGCCTGGAGAATCTTCCCGGTCCTGGCGAGCCTGCTGTGTATGTGGCAAACCACCAAAGCTTTCTAGACATCTACACCACTTTTCAACTTAACCGTCCATTCAAGTTCATCTCCAAGAGCACCATTTTCCTCATTCCAATCATTGGCTGGGCTATGTATCTGACAGGCCACGTGCCATTGAAGCGAATGGATAACAAAAGCCAAGTGGTGCGTACTCCCTTCTGCCCACTACTCCTGAGGCTTCTGCCTTGTCCTTCCCTCTGCCTCTCCCTCTCCCTCTCCCTCTCCCTCTCCCTCTCCCTCTCCCTCTCCCTCTGCCTCTGCTGCTGCCTCCGCCTCCGCCTCCGCCTCTGCCTCTGCCTCTGCCTCTGCCTCTGCCTCTGCCTCTGCCTCTGCCTCTGCCTCTGCCTTTCCCTCTCCTTCTGAGGGCTTATCCCTTATTCTTCCCTCTCACTAACCACAAAATTAACCCCCCCCCCCAAAAAAAAAAAGGTCTGGGAAAAAGATATGCTGTGTAGAAATGCTGACTGCTTCGGAGGCTCGTTCGCTATCCGTCCCTCTTTCACCATCACAAAATTAAACCAAAAAAAAAAAGAATGTCTGGGAAAAAGGTATGCTGTGTAGAATTGCAAACCAAACAGCTTTTGGCTGAGGGTGTCACTTCGACATTCCTCATTTAATTGAAAAAAAAAAAACAAATCAAATTGCAGCACCCCCTAACTTTTAAGTTTTTAGGCTATTTGATTTAATGAAATTGGCAGACACACGCAGGCAGTGTGAGTGTCGATTAACAATTTAACGCGCAGCAGTCCCTCCTCATAGCAAGGGGCTCTCACATGAATCAATCGGTAACATGTGGCTTAAATGATTGTGCAGTGATCCCACTCAACTGACACTCGATTCACATCCACACATGCACACCACCTCCACACAGCAACTCCCAAGTCAAAGCAATGAGAGAGAAGTCCGATGAATTTCTGAAATTCGAAAAAAAAAAAATTACAGTTTAGTTGAATTACAAAATTGTCACAATAGTTCCAAGCTGCAAGTACAGTGCAGGTATGGCCGCCAACACCCCACATTGGTACCTCTCTCTCTCTCTCTCTCTCTCTCTCTCTCTCTCTCTCTCTCTCTCTCTCTCTCTCTCTCTCTCTCTCTCTCTCTCACAGATCGTACTCTCTCTGAATGCCTTCAACTTCCTTTCTCACTCTCCACTACTAATCGGCGCCTTCCTCACCTAGTTATGGCGCTAAGAGCCAATGCCTACTCCAAAGCGCTAGACAAAGTCGCACTCGAAGAGTCGCACAAGCGACCAGCACCCCTTCCACAGCATCGGAATGAACAATTGCGTTCCCAGCTACTGTAGCGGCGTGTTTTGTATTTGCTGCAATTGACAATCTTGATTTCCTTCAGACGGCTAACGGTCCCAGGCCTGTCAGCTGCCATTGTTTGTCAGTTCCGGAAGTCTCCCTGGACATGCTCTTCTTGGACTGGGACTTTTCTTGGGTACTGGACTCCTACCAATCTAGCGGGACTTTTACCGACCTATGGGATGGGACTCCTATCGACCTATGGGGTCGTGGAATGGCGGTTCAGCCTCAGGTCTGCGAATTGGACTATGGTGCATTGGCTTCGGGACCTTGGGACATCTGGGTCCAGACTCGGGACCTTGGGACATCTGGGACCAGACTCGGGACCTTGGGACTGATGCGTGAAACCCTTTCAATTGGCATAGGGCTCTCTGCCAATGGTCCGGGGTCGACGGCAGTCCAACTCAAGATTTCGTATACCCCCCCCCCCCCCCCCCCCCCCCCCCCCCCTCTCTCTTTTCTTTAGTCTTTTCCTCCCTTTCTGTCAGCGGTCTATTGTGTGGTACTTTGTGACAATAGGTCATACATATATTGTTGTCCTATATATCATGTGGTTTTGTATGGTGAAGAACTCCAAAAAAGGATAAAATCGTTGGTAATCATATGCCATTTTCTTCTTCTTCCATGTGTGTGTGTGCGCACATGTGCGTGCATGTGTGTGCAAGCCTGTGCGCATGCAGCATCTCTACGGGTAAAGAAGTCACTCAATCGGCAAAGACGAAGTTGCTTTGCTTGCTTATGAAGACCACGGACGAGACGTTTTCTTCTTCTTCCATGTCGGTTAACCCTGGTTGTTGTTGTTGTTGTTTTTTTTTTTTTTTT